CAGCTTGTCCTAACCCCGTCCCCCTCGGGAAGGGTGGGATGGTGGGAAGAGCCAGGGAAGCCTCAGCAGGGTCCCCCCAAGGCTGGGCTGGGTGTGGGTTTTGGTACGTGGGAGTCCTGGTGGTGAGACCCCCCCCAGGAGACGGCAGCTGCATTCTGCATAAATGCGACTCTCTGCTCACAGAGACACGTGGGCGAGGGGTGGGTGGGCGCAGGCGGCAGTGGAGGGGACGTGATGAGGTCCCTTGCCATAGCTCTTGCAGGTGGGGGGGTGTAGGAGTACAGCAGTGTCACCTTCCTGGCTGATCCCTCCCCGGCTTCTTTCCCCAGGCTGCTGCAGCCGGAGCCACTGGTCCTGGCTCCGCCGGGGACATCGCCACGAGCCAGCAGCCACAGAGGGGCCCTTGAAGGTGGCTTAGAGAGGTAAGGGGGGAAGGTGTGCACAGGGGTCCTGGCACAAGCTGAGAGACCCTGCCCACTGTGGGGTTCCCCAGTGCCCAAGAGATGGATTTTTAACTCTGCTGTATGTTCCCCATTTTCCAGAGGGAAGTCCTTCAAGCCTTCCGCCAAGCTGGAGGAGCCCAAGCCCAGCAGAAAGCAGGTGATCATCAGCACAGAGTGGGTGGTGCCCGCAGTGCCCCCTCCTTGCTAGGTTTTGTTGGTTGAAGGTCTATGTGGGGAAGGTGAGGAGGAGCAGCATCGTCTGGAAGGGGTTCTGGGGGGTGTGTGCAGAGGAACAACCTCCTCTGTCCATGCACGTGAGTCTCCCCGGGCCTCTTGCAGCACCTCCCCAAGCGATTCCCCAATATGGAGATTGGATCCAGCGTCACCCGCTCCCCTCCAACCCTGAGACACCTGGGCCACCAGCCTGGGTGGAGACTTGTGAGGATGGACCCAGGCTCTGGGAGGGACCAGTGCTGGGCACTGGGGCTGTTCTCATACAGCAAAAGCCTTTAGCTGAGTGCCCACACTAGAAGGTGCTGAATCTTCCACGGAGCTCATGCTCCCCAGTGGCTCTGTGAGCCCTGGTCCTCCCAGCCCCGATGACCTGGGTACCAAAGGGGGTTTTGCAGCAGGAAACTGAGGCATGAGGTAGTGCCCTGCCTGGGTGACCCAGCAGAACATGTGATGGACAAGGAGTGTTTCTGTCCCTGGATTTGCCCTCTCCTCGGTGCCTGCTGAGGGGTGGAGATGTTGGAGGGAAGGTAGATATGGGCTGGAGACTGAACCCAGGTCCTCCTCCCTCCCAGCCGAGCACGTGCCTCCGCTCGGTGATGGCCAGAGCAAAGGCAGACCCCAAGTTTGGGGAGATCTTCCGCTTCGACACCCCCGTGCTGATGTGGGACCAGCACTTCACCCCGGAGACCTGGGACAGGCTGAAAACACGACACGTCCCCTACGGCTGGCAAGGCTTGTCCCATGCAAGTACGGACTCACCTGGGATGGGGGTGGCAGCAGATGGGGCAAGGGGGGCGATGGAAGGGTGTGGGGCAGCTCAGGGTGTCTGGGGAGCCCAGCAGAAGGGACTGAAGACACGGGGCAGGCAGAGAAGCCCTGCGATGTAGCCAGGGACAAGAAAGGGGGCTTACAGGAAAGCTGGAGAGGGGCTTTTTGCAAGGGTGTGTAGTGACAGGACAAGGGGCAATGGCTTTGAACCTAGAGAGGGGAGATTTCGATTAGATCTAAGAAAGAAACTTTTTACAATGAAGGTGGTGAGGCACTGGAACAGGTTGCCCAGAGAAGTTGTGGCTGCCCCATCCCTGGAAGTGTTCAAGTGGTGGAGGCTTTGACCAACCTGGTGTAGTGGAAGGTGTCCCTGCCCATGGCAGAGGAGTTGGAACTAGATGGTCTTTGAGGTCCCTTCCAAACCATTCTGTGATTCTATGATTCTGTCTCTTCCCACTCTGCCTTCCAGGGTGTGGGTGGAGGGGACGGCTTTGCAAACGCCACTTGCTGCATCTTGTGACATTTTCCCCAAATAAAAGCTCCAGTGTGTGCATGATTATTAACTGGGGCCGGAGGAGCTTGGACAACCCGCTCCATTGTTGTGGATGGAGATTATTTCCCTTCCTACCCCAAACCCACTCTCTGCTCTCCCGGGCAGCTGCCGGCTTTAATTCCTTGGCTGGGAAGTGCTGGGGACGGGGCGGGGGGGGGGAAC